GATGGTCATTCCCTCGAGCTCACTTCTCGGCAAATGCTGAATTCCCGCTCTCGCTATGATTAACTTGGCTTCTGTAACTTCGCTGTATTTTGACAAGTAGCAGTTCGCCAAATGGGCGGATATATCTGCGTTACACTCGGAGAACAAAGCATGCTCTACTTCCTCCCTACTAGAACCGACTTTGCAGTATTTCGTAAAGAGAACAATTTGGGGAGACAGCAGGCATTTTTGGTGCTAACAAAGTAAACGTCCCAAGAAACACTGCCTCGGATTTGTCTGAAAATATTGCCGACAGATCGTTTTGTTCCCGACAGATTTTAATTGAACTAGGAAGAAATAAACAAGTTTGCCAAATATTCTTTCGCAAAAAATAGAAATGCCACACAGAAAAGTTAAAAAGTCTTCACTTTAATAAGCTTTAAGCAAAAAACATTTCGTGTGTTTTTGAAGAGATGTACCTGTATTAAAAGGAAATGTAACGACCGTCGAATTTCTTTATCAAAATTAATCTGTAATTTAATTAGGTGAAACAGAAACACACGGCTCTTTTTTAGCGCCTCATAGAAAATGAAAATGGTCATAAAAATATAATTGCAATTAATTTGCATATAGGAATTAAAAAGTATTTTCATTTCGTTAAAAAAAAGGCCAAAATGATGATTAACATCGATGTTGATACTCCATCACATAATTGTTCCTGCACCTTTGAGCCTTTTAGTTTAAAGTTTCATAACTCGGTCAAAATTTTACAGAATGCAATTGTTTCACCTTTGACGTATTGAAATAAAGTCATTCTTAAATATGTAAAATAATCAGCTTTCTAGATTGGGAAATAAGGATTTGGCAGCGCTCGATATTTATAGCTTAATTATAGGGGCCACAGAAGACAAATTGAGCAGTTTTGGGTGACCTTTAAATTGTCTCGTAAAAAATAAAAAGAATGAAATTGATCAAAATAAATGCGATATTTGTACATGGGATAATATTGTTGACTTCCAGTGAAAAACTTAGGGAAAGCGTGACGCTTTCATGAAGTTTAAAATCATTCGCTTTTTTTCTCGAGACGTAAGCTTGGGAGGCCTCTGGTGTGATTGATTACATCGGCGTTGGGGATATTTAGGGTCCATCTTGTTCCCGCTAAGGATGTTCTAGTGGTTATATTTATTACCAAATACTCTGTCGAAGGAATAGACAGTGGTGAAGGAAACAGTCGAGATCTGCGGCAAGAAATCGAGGTGAGAACTTAGCTAAAGCCCTCGCAAACGACCGACAGCGAACACGTGGTTTTGAAAAGCAAAGTTATTTACCTCCAGTAGCCTTTTTTGCGTTTGACATCGCGTGTATTATTTAAGTTGTATTCAAAAACTCGTATCTGAGACCAGAATATTCCATAATTTTCGCTAAGGGCACCCTTTAAACGATGAATTTGATGCAAAAGCGAACGTGACGCGTAATCCGATCAGCTGATTAGTTGTAATAGAGGAGTGTATTTTTTGATTATGTGCGATGCAACGGCGATTTTGAGTATGCTTTTTGTCTTTGTTAACTTCAATTAACAAACGGAACGAAAAAATTGTCGTTTTTATATTTTTAACGAAGGAGAAGATATTGAAGAGGGAAAAGTCTGCAGCGTCTAGTAGTAACCGGTCAAGTCGCTCGGAAGTCATCTCTTCTGAAGTCTGTAGCCTGGAACCTGAGTTGTGTCGCTCAAAATTTTATTCATGTCGCCCTAAATAAAAAGACAAGTCGTCTAAAGAAACAAATACTTAAAAGATCAGACTTACACAGTGTAAATAGGCTATATAGGTAAGAAATCTTTATAATGCACTAAAGTGCTGTTTGTTTGCGAGAACATCGTAAAGATGATGATCACAATAGGGATATGTTTAAGAGACAACTTTAGAAGCGTTATTCGTTTCTAAAAACAAAATGATCAGTTGTTTGTTTATTATGTACTCATTTCGTACTCACAGACGCTTCATAAACTTGAGAAACTTTACCACTCAAGCGGTGTTAGTTTCTAACAACGCCATGAAGACTGATTTGTACACAAAAATCGATCACATGGTCAGAATTGAAATATGTTTGAATAATGACTCTGAAAGCATTGCACTATCTGTTGGGTATTCACTCATTTCATACCCACCAACCTTTTGTAAACTTAAGAAACTTTATGACTAAAGTGATGTTGGTTAATTTCTAACAACACCATGAAGACATAAAGAGCCG